TGAGGATGTTAAAAGAGTCAAAAAGTCAAGACGATTATGATTTTGATGTTAAAAGAAGAAAACAAAAAGATGCCAGGGAATACAACATTACTGATTTCCACTAAATACTTTTCCAAGCCATAAAAAGCTAAAAAGTCTGGCAAAACTAGTTTAATTGATGTCATCCATGCTTGACATGGACCACCACAAGCTCATCCCTCTTAGTTCAGCTTATCAATGAGCTCATTGATGTGATCTTCACGGTTGCCTGCATCGCCACCCTCCTTGTAGAGCTTTTTCTTCATCTGTAATCTGCGTTCTGGGCATTTAAGCTTGAATGACCACAGGAAGCTGGTAACCTCCTTGAAATGTGATCCCACTGTGGCGATCTCATGCACGACATCTTCAAGACAGATGATACCATACTTCCCAAGTGCCTATTTCACACACAACAAATATTAACAAGTGTATAAACTTCTGGTTCGGTAACAAATACCAAGAAGACGAGAAGAAAGTGACAAAACAAAGAAGCAGATAATGAAAGCAGAAGAGCTGTCTTGCATTCAAGTCTCACAATGAGAATGTCGGCTCGGTGACCTGGTGCAGGCTTCTGCTAGATTTCCCATAATTTATTGACAATTGATATGCTGGTAAGTTAAGATGGAAGGCCTTAGCCTATCATACTGGAGATAAAAAATCATGGACCGGAGACCCTACAAGTCAATTAATGCTGCTGCATGGTCAGATATTTTGACTACACAACAAAATTGGCTGCTGAGCTGTGGCTGGCTGGAAATTTGCTGTAGTGTAGTCGAGGTCACCACCAGAAGTTTATCTCCAGAAATTAATCGAGGTCCTAAAAGTTGTATCATTTATATGCCTGGAATGAAGCAGTAATCAAGTGTCGATATGCACAAAAGCCCAGGCATTAAGACAAAAGACAGAAAAAAAAAAAAAGTGGCACTAAGCCATGACCACCATGCTATGTCCATCTTAGAAGAAAGAACTCCCTAAGATAACAGAATAACTGAAGATCAAGAGTCTTTATACACAAAAGGATCAGTAGGGTATAGAAGTGCAAAAAGATATCTCCCATTCACTAAAGAGTCATGTGCAGCTTTCTGAATGTTAATAACCAGATCAAGCTTAGGTTTCCACTGGAATATCTATCCTAAGTATTTCCAAGAGCTTCATTTTATTGCATAACTTTCTTTACTTCAAGGATATGCAGAGAAGTTACTATGACAGGTACACCTCCAGAAAGAAAACACTGCAAACTACCATGTAGCAACACATTTTATCATGTCTGAAACAAACCAAAGAAAATGAAGTAAAAAACTGTCCATGTGCAATGCTAAAGACATGAACATTCTCAATGTGAACTAAGAAATAAATTTGCACATGAAACTACTAAGTATCTCATACGATGACAGAAATTTGCACTTTAGTTGCTCAAATATGACAGAAAATCTAAAGTAGTATTAGCAATATCTTGACCACCATCATACCTGCTCAATGACGTTGTTGTCAGTAAGAGGAGTCCTCTCCTTTTCTATATTTCCACAGCCCTTCTTGTAAACAAGCTCCCTCACACTTTTCAAAGTTGGATAACTATAAAGTTGAAACCAAACAAATTAGAAGAAAAAAGAACAGTTTAGGTTAGAATTAAGTTTTGCATAATTACCCATAAGTAATGAACGGTTCTACGGTCAGAAGCATTCTCAAATTTGCTTCATTGGCTTTCAGAAATACACCACTTAAGATATGTCTCAACCGCAACTTATTTAAGATTTGTCTTGTCCGGGGATGCATATCCTTTGATCTGAATTCAAGGTAACATTTGAGCAGATAAAAAAACATCCAAGAAGGTTAAACATGAAGTTCAAGAACAGAAAAAAGCAGGATCACATGATATCTAACTCACCCATGGATGCGAATAACAAAAAGTAACTTAGACTTTATGGCATCATTGGAAGATTTCCGTAGCTTTAGCCTCTGCTTCATGCGAACAAAGTCCAGCTCCTACGTATTTATGGTCTCATTAGGTCCAAAATTGAGAACTGACCCTTCTTATATATAAGGCAGTTAGATTAACTACAGAACTTATCTACAAACAGATATTAATTGAACTGCATGAAAATCCAGAGTGCTGGAAGGCACATATCTAACTGACTTCACTACATCACAAAGTATAAGCCACAGCAACCAAGGTCAAGAGATACCCATGAGAACATGGTAGATATCTGCCACCAAGGAATAACACAGCAAGTCACACCCCTTTCATCAGAATTCGGGACTAAATACATATCCATATTTTGCAATTTACACACAAATCCAAACTTTTGTGAATTTCTTTATCTGCCCACAAACTCAAACATAACACACTAGCATCAAATTTTCCTCAAGAAAATAGAGAGCACAATAGTTTTTCCAGTGAAAGCAAGAGACTGAGACAAACATAAAATATTTGAACAGAAGGCATCACAAACAGAACTACCTTATATGTACTATCTACATCTCCAATTCCCATGAGTTTGCTTTTCACTATGTCAAGTTTATTTTACATTATTCCAAGTCTTAGTTAGAACACACGGTCATTTTTTGGTCATCTCAACAAAGTCTCAGTTGTAATGTTGATCAATGTTTAACAGGTCACTTAGGTCAGGATTTTGGTTGAGTTCGAGTTGTCTCAGGTGCTTAAGGAGTTTACCAATTTTAGACAAAGTAGCAACCTATTGGAGTTACTTTTAAGAGGTCAGGTGGCCTGCTCAAGACCCTGTTCAGCTATGACTAGAGAACCAATACATGACTAGAGAACCAACCTAATGGTTGGTTCATATCCCTCATCATAAAAGTTTGTGTTCAGCTGGAAATTTTGATTACTTAAGACTAGTGACACATTGTAAAAGAAACAGATTTCTTCTTTAATTTTGTAACAGAAAGAAATTCAAAATTAAAGAAAGTCTAGGATTGGCTCAGTGCATGATGCTGTCACCAATGTGGAGACTAGAGAATGTCAACATATGCAGTCTGACTGTTGCAAGTATGGAAAATATTTCTGTGACTTGAACCTTTGTTACCCATGTCAAGAGGAGCGACCTATTGCATGCAAGGGTTATCATACAACATAAATAGGGAAAAAATGAATGATCTGAAATGATACTTCAACATTGGCATAAACCAATTCATTTCATATGATATACCTTCTGATATCTTAAGAAATGAGGAGCCATTTAAATTTATATCTCATTTGAATAAATTTGGTTAGTTTAGGGATACTTTACAATGTCATGAGTTGCCACATGACAACATCTCTCTACTTTAGTGTTCTAGATTATCCAAGAAGAATAAAACAAGTCAACACAAAATGATGGAAGAAATTGATCATCAGAAGTCAATCAATCAGATAAATCATAAAAAAGAATGGTTATTCTTCAAATCACATCTGAAATTCCATCTTTCTCAAAAAACAACCATGAGAAAGAGTATATGATTGATTCACTTTGATGGATTTGTAATCTTTCCTCGTTTTTTGTATGTGTTCTTTACTTGAGAAATATAAAAAAAGTGAAAGTGCTCGTAACTAAGGACAATAGAATGATTGAATAAACCGCCATTCTTTTACCACATTATATGTAATTAATGTGAGGTATGAGACCTTCATCGTGTTTTTCCTTAAACTAGAGTGAGTTTCTTTTTTTTTATCTGAATTAGTATCGATTCCTGACTCTCACTGTCTCTCTTGCTCTATTCCCAAATTTAAATATATACATATCGTTTCTTTGCTCGTCGTGTGCTTGACCTACATCAAGAATATGCTCCTACTTTGAAATTTTAATTGTTAAACGTGGGATCATGTGCATTGTATAAATTGCATCAAATGAGAATCCATTAGCAGGATTAACTAAAGATCCCCTATGTTAGCACATTCTAATAGATGATGAAGCATCTAAACCAACATTTCCACATGCCAAAAGAACAAATTGGAACATACCATCATTTGACTTGAAATTCATGTTGAACAATGCAATAAAGTTCACTACTGAATCGTAATTTCCAGTGGGTAATTGCAAGATATATACAGCATTTGATGTCTAAAGGCATGATTGAGTGCAGCAGATGCAATTTATGTGTATGGGCTAGGGTTAAGCCAAACCAATATTGGTTAGGTACACAATTCAATTAAGTCTAGCTCCCATCTAAACGTAAATTAAGGGTAAGCGTACTGGAAATGTGTAAAAGGAGTATGGCTTCTACTCAATCTAAATTACAATCCAATTTTGGCATTCTTACATGGCCATGTACCATCATTTTAGCCCTTTTGACTGCCTTTTAGAGAACAGCTGAAACAGATTCTCAATTTCTAAATGATGATAAGTTGCAGCAAAAGTAATATTGGAGAAAAGTTTGTCCTTTTTAAAAGTTCTGATCCTATATTCATCGAATAACTTCTTTCCAAACTCAGCCAATGACAATTTGGCCCACCCAGCCCAATGTTTCTGCATTGGACAAACCTAAGCTGATTTGATTTGTTGGCATAACAATGCCTCAATACATCACCTCGCCTTTCCTCCTGTTTGATGCTGCTGCTCCTCTCTCTCTCTCT